TTTAATCCCTCAGTAACCGATTGTCTCTACTGCACACCTACAGAAAACATTCCTTATTTAATATTGGTCACTGAGAAGTGGAAGATCTGCATTTATATCGCACTTTTCACAACCATAGGATGTCTCAAAGTGCTTTGCAGCCAATGAAGTTATGTTTTTGAATTGCAGTCATTGTTATAGTAATGTGATAATTGAATTTGAATTTAGAATTTCTTGTCATATGTGTTTTTACAAGAAACACACAGTGAAAAGTGTTATAAGTCGCCTTACCGTGGCGCCTGTAGATCTTGTTTTTTTGATGCTCGTTGATACATTAGTCCTGGCCAAACTCTTTTTCAAATGATATGGTCAGTAAGGAGCTTGCAGTCAAAAGTGAGACGAAGTGTGGATTTGGAAGTTGATCTATGTGGCAAGATGTAATAAGTATTTTTCATGCTTACATACAGATAAGAACTAGACTCTGATGTGGAAATAACAATCTTCAAGTGAGTTAAATAGCCCTGTAAAACCAAGCAGTCAGTAAGGGGTACATAGTCAGCAGACTACACCTAAGTCAGATGTAGACAGAGTATGGAATTACAAACTGATTCATGTGAGATACAGAGGTACTCCATTATTTAACTTCTTTAAAATCAGTCTCTGGAAGGAATTTTTCTTTCCTTGACTCTGAACTAGGAAAATGCAAGCTTCTATTGCATTACTTTAGCTGCGTAAATGATCAACTAATTTGTCCCGATGGCTGATTTACAATGCAGAGTGATGCCAGCAGCATAGATTCGATTCCCACACCGGTTAGGTTACCACGAAGGACTGTCTTTCTCAACCTCTCCCCTCACCTGTGGTGAGGTGTACCTCAGATTAAACAACCATTAGTCATCTCTCTCTAATGAGCAGTTGTTATGGTCCAGTGGGATTATGGCAACTTTACCTTCACTGTTAAATATTTAGTAGTGTGTACCAGTAAGAGCAAAAAGTATTGTTTACTTCAGGTTAACTCATAAATAAAGGAATGGTAGGGGTGCTCCAACAACAAGAATGCATGTTGTATGCATTGTGGGAATTCCAAAATGCTTCATGTGTCTTGAATTAATACTTGTGCAGGAAGAGCCATCAGATACAGCAGCTGGAGCCCCAGGTTTCAGAATTTAAGCAGCAGCTAATGTCACTGCAGTGTATCCGTGAGGCTGAGAGCTACGTAGAAAGCCCATTTATAGATGTGGTGACTCTGCAACTTAGGCTTTTGCGGGGATGGAGGGAATGGGTGACCACCAGGCAGTTATAGAGGGTCAAAAACAAAGTTGCTGGAAAAGCTCAGCAGGTCAGGCAGGATCAGTGAAGGAAAAAACAGAGTTAACGTTTTGGGTCCGGTGAACCTTCCTCAGAACAGGAAGGGTTCTGAGGAAGGGTCACCAGACCCGAAACATTAACTCTATTTTTTCCTTCACAGATGCTGCCAGACCTGCTGAGCTTTTCCAGCAACTTTGTTTTTGTTCCTGATTTACAGCATCCACAGTTCTTTCAGTTTTTATTTAGTCATAGAGGGTCAGGTAATGTAGAAGTCATCTATATGCATCCTCTTCGCCAACCAGTAAGCTGATGAGATGATGGTTTCGCTGGGGAATGCAACCAGTGCTAAGTCCATGGCACTATGGGACAGTCAACTTTGCAGAAAGTTAAAAGAAAGACTGCAAGAGCCTTAATCTTGTGATTTGATGGTTGGGGAGCAGATAGATGTTTATTTGGCCTCAGACTTGATTCTAGGATAGTGTAATTCCTCCCTGCTGCCAGATCAAGGATGCAACTGAGCAGCTGTAGTGGAAGGAGGATGAACAGCCAGCTATCGTGGTCCACATTGGAACAAACAACTTGGGTAGAAGAGGGATGTGGCCTTGCAGTCAAAATCTACGGAGCTAGGGAGAAAATTAACAAGCAGGATTCCAAAAGAAATCATCCAGCACTGTGTGTATGTGAGATAAGGAATAGCAGGATAAGACAGACAAATGTGTGGCTGGAAAATTGGTGCAGGAAGGGAGGGCTTTAGTTCCTAGGTAAATTGGGTCCAGCCCTGGAGAAGATGGGACCTGCATAGACTGGATGGATTACATCTGCACAGGACTGGGACGGAGTTCTTTGCAGTGCGGACGGGAGAGTTTAAGTAAGTTGGGCAGGGAAGTGGGGACCCACGAGTAGATTCGATCGGAACAAAAGCAAAAATTAAAATGGGAGCCAGAAAATTACTGGATGAGTCTGGTAGGCAAAGGAAACAAAGCTTGGAGAAAGTATTTGGCAGTGCTGAAGGGCATCTGCTTCAGTGAGTAGCAAGTAAAGTAGATCAGATGTGGGCACAAACAGAAATGTGACAGTATGATTTCAGAACTAATACAGAAATGTGGTTTAAAGCTCAAAATTAGGACAAAGCCAATTTTACTAAGCTGAGGTGCCATTTGGCATAAGTGGGCTGGAAACAGCTACTGAAGGTAAATCAGTATAGCAGCAGTGGGAGGCAAGAAAAGGGAGATTCAAGGGGTTCAGAATAAACATGCTCTCATAAAGATAAAGAATGAGATAGCCAGACTAGAGAACTCTGGAGGTCAAGGAGCATACAGGGTAGGATAAAGCAGAAAAGGAACACTCAGGTCTGACATCAAAAACACAACACATTGAATGCCAAAAGGACTATAAAAGTAAAGGGGTGAAATCGAAAAGAAAATTTGGAAAGTGACAGGAGGACACTAAAGAATATCGGCTAGTAAAATTAAGGTATATCCAAAAATTGTTTTATCAGGGCTTGAGGAGTAAAAGGATAACTGTGGAAAGAATAAGACCCATAAAAGACGAAATGTGTAGAGATTGAAAATGTTGGTACAGTTCTTAATGAAGACTTTGTGTTGGTATTCCCAAAAGATAGAATGGGGAGAGGCAATGCAGGCATTGCAATTGAGAGAGGAATGTGAAGCACTGGATGTGTTATACAAAGGTACAGAGGAAGTGTTAGTGGGATTAGCATCATTCAAAGTGCATAAATCATCATGGCTAGATGAAAAAGAAGCCAGCAAGGGAACAGTAGGAGGACAGAGCATTAATTTCCAATTATCACTGCATACAGATATGGTGCTGGTGGACTGAAGGACTACTATTGTTTTATCTTTGGAAGGAAGTGAGGCACAGATCAATTAATTGCAGGCCAGTTTAATACTGGAGAAAATATTGGAATCAATTCTGAGAGACTCGATAAACTGTTATTTACAAAAGTGTGTATCAATCAAGGGTAGTCAGCATGGATTTGTTAAGGGAAGATTGTACCTGATGAACTTGATTGAAGAAACAAGAAAGGACTGATAAGGATACTGCAGTTGATGTAGTCTATTTGGATTTTAGCAAGGCTTTGCAAGTTTCCATATGGTTAAAGCAAAACTCATGAGATCCAGGAGAATGTAGCAAGTTGGATACAAAAATGGGTCACTAGAAGACAACAAAGGTTAATTGTTGATTGGTGTTTTTTGTGACTGGTAGGTTTGAGTATGGTTCTGCAGGGTTCAGTATTGGTTCCCTGTATTTTTTGTGGTATATGTTAAACATTTGGAAGTAAGTGTTAGGAGCAAGAAGTTTGCAAATATCATAAAAATTGACTGCATGGCCTACAGTGAGGTGCTTATCAAACTGGTTCACTGTGTCATTCACTAATAGCCAGGGAATTAATGAGGGAAACAAATCTGCTATCCTTATCCATTCTATCATGGACGTGATTCCAGATGGATAGAAATGTGATTGACTCCTAACTGCCCTCTGAAATGGTCTAGCAAGCTACTTCATTATATGGAAAAAGATGCTAACCATTACCTTCTCACTGATAATTAGGAAAGAGCATGAAATATTCATGCTGCCAATTTGCACAGGCCATGAATGAATAATAAAAAGTATAATGGCTCAAAACTGCATTGAAATATACCTATCAAGCCCAGACAAAAGCTCCTCATCAATAGTTCAGATTTTAAAGATTGCAGTTTTGTATACAGTCCCACTAAAACCCTAATTTCTACATTCAATGCTAAACAAAAGAAAACTCTGGCAACTTGGAGAAGTGTGAGATGATGCATTTTTTGAGATCAATTAAGGCAAAGAATTTAGTGATGAATGGGAGAACATTGAGAGGCGTAGAATAAGTGAGGGGGCTCGAAATAAATGTCCACAGGTCCCTGAAGGGAGCAGGATAGGTCGATAAGGCGGCTACAAAGACATTTGGAAACCTTGCTTTATTATTGTTTTACAGAAATCAAGAGCAGGAGGTTATGCTGGAAATGTATATATCGTTCGTTAGGTTACAACTTCAGTACTGAGGGTAGTTCTGGTCACCTCATTATGGAAAGCATGTACTGGCACTATAGAAGGTACAACAGAGATTTAGGAGGATGTTGCTCGAACTGGAAAAATGCTACTATGAAGAATGATCGGATAGGTTGGAGTTATTCTCCTGGGAACAGAGAAACACATTAGTAATAATTGGCTAAGAAATGCAAAAAATGTTATAACGTGCCACTCAATCAGGATAGTGGGGCTTTACACAGCATTAGTTAAGATTCATTAGAATCAACGGTCATATCAAAAGACGATCAGAGAACTGGATACCGGTGCAACACAATGTGACCATTAGAATTTCACAGTATTCAACAGGATAGTAAAGAGATAGAATCCAGTGATTTATTGCTTTTGTGGTGTGTAGAATTTTACATTTTTTCTTCTACAATTTTAACACCCAAGTATTAATTGCTGCATGCCCTGGTGAATCCTTTCATTGACCTGTGTTGTTATCACTTCAGATCTGTGTAAATTTAAACCACAGTTGATTTTCCAAGAAATAATCACCTTATATACATGCTGAAGTGATTATTCCCAATGCTAGCTCTGTATTAGAAAAGATTTACATACAGTGTGTACATTCTGCCCTAGCTTCCCAAATCAATGGAAACGATTAGGAGCCATGAGGACTCAAACTCTCCTACCTGTGCACTCATGCTGCAATCCCTTGCCGTAGTAGCCTTTCTCGCAGATGCACTCATATTGGCCAGTGTTGGTGCCACACTTGCAGCTTGCCATTTCATCGCAGCAGTTCTGGCCCAGTTCACAGAGGAATGAACAGCGGGCTCGGTCTTCCTGGATGTAGTCACCAGAGGGAAGATCTATAAAGAAGAAACACATCTTTTTGGCAGCAGCGTCATTTATTCCAGTGATTTTTATTTTCCACAAAAAGAACTCTCTGCAGTGCTTTTCATGACCACAGTGCCCATGAGCATTGCTGACGTTGAAAATTCTATCTAATCTGGGGTGCAGTGCAGTGCAAAATGTACCATACTCTCACAGTGGCTCAGCGGCTGGCACTCCCACCTCTGAATCAAGGGTTGTATGGATTCCAGTCCCACTTTAGAGACTTAAGCACCAAATCTGGGTTGAAACTCTGAATACAGAACTGAGGGAGGTCTGTTCCGTCACGGGGGGAAGTTAGATGACAAGTTGAGGCACTGTATGCCACTTTTGATGGAAATAAAAGAGTGCCCAGCTCTTTACAGTGATGAAGTACTGTTGTTGTGAATAATTAGTTTCTAGTTCATGTGTTTTACAATATACCTTTCACTTTCAAGAATATAACATTAAGTTAAGGTTTAAAAGTTCAGAATAGAAGAGGGAAAGAGCTGTAAAAGAGCTTATTTAGCTGGAGATGTACAGATGTGAGGTCTACATTCATCCAGAGAGATTCATTTGTTTGGGACTTAGAGCTAAATTAGTTTAATAGCATTCAGTAAACAGTGAAATCCTGTTGTAACCTGAAATAACTGCACAGAGGCTGGTATCCCATCACCAAGTTACCCTTTATTTACATGTGCACTGTGCATGGGCTCTGACAAACTAGCTCAGAGCTAGTCCCTAGAGCGAGGAGGCTCTCAGAATCTCCTGTTTCTATCTGTTACCCAGGGCTCCCTGATTGGCCCAGGTTCACAACCCCAATTAAGGATCTCATAGTGGATGAGATCCACTTGGCCTTCGTTCCAATCACTACATAACCCAGTTACTTCATCAGCTCAAAAAATTATAAATAAGGGATAATCAACTTTAAAAAACACTAAATAACTGGGGGTGCCAGAAATCAGAAACAAAAGTTCTCAGAAAGGGTCACTGGACCCAAAACGTAAACTCTCATTTCTCTCCACAGATGCTGCCAGACCTGCTGAGCTTTTCCAGTAATTAACTTGAAGGTCAGTTTAAGGATTGCCTATACCATCTTGGATTGAGTTTATGATGTCCCTCGGGTTTGAATTTATCTCTGTGTTTGCTGGGAGAGTTTCTATTCGTAGTTGGACCTTGTGAGGCTTGCAACTTACTGAACCAAATGACAAACCTGCACCGTAAAAACAAAATAACCATTGTCCAAATTAAATGAGGACGAGACTTAATCCTAGTTTGAATCTTTTGTGGAAATAGAAGTCAGAAGCTTTCCTTGTTTGAAGAGAATGGGAGAATCTACAGTGGACCTCTCAGTGTCCTATTGCAAAAGAAAGTAAATTAATTCATCTAGGATTGAATCAGTAACCAGAGAAAGAGACTGAGACCTCGACATACCAGAGAAGACAAATGAAAGTTTTATATCTGAGAATAGCTGGAGCTGAGAAAATAAAACTCCAGAGGATTGTGCCATACTTACCGGTGGTCCCTATAGACATTATTGACTTTAGATTGACTTTTTTCTGAAGAAGGGTCTAGGCCTGAAACGTCAGCTTTCCTGCTCCTCTGATGCTGCTTGGCCTGCTGTGTTCATCCAGCTCTACACCTTGTTATCTTTAGATTGATGTATTTTATCAGAGAATGCTTAGGGGAATTAGGAAGTAAACCCTGTGCATAACATGTACAGTTATAAAGCATATCTTTTGGTATGTAAATGAAAGTTAAATCCAGTGGTTTAGTTCTATTGGTTAAGATTAGGTATTTTGATTTCACTTTCAATTGTAAATGATCCCTAATTGGATCATAACACCACTGTAATGTAGGAAAAAGCAGCAACTGATTTGTGCACAGCAAGCTCCCATATACAGCAATTTGATGATTGCCAATAATGTTGGTTAAAGAATAAATGTTCTGCATGAGTGCTTATACATCTCAGCCAACAGCACCTCTGACAGTGCAGCAGTCCCTCAGCTCCACATTAGGAGTACCTAAAGATTGTACTCAAATATTTGAGAAGCACTTGACATCCCAGCCCGCTTTGACTTAAAGGTGACAGCACTACTTCCTGAGCCACAACTTACAGCTGAAAGTGTTACACAGTGCTCCAGATCAGATAGGTAATTTGGGTCAAAAAGTTCCTGGACATTTAAATTGCTCAGTATTACAATCCAGCATGAATTATTTATACAAACTGACCGTTACACACTATACATCCCTGTGTTCTCAGTCACTGAGCTAGATTGATGGGGTGCATAATTACTTTAGTTGATAAAAGAGAAACATTGGCAAGATTTTTTTCATTTTGCAATCGTCAGGATAGGCACATGGGAAAAATGTGACATTTGGTATTCTTGTCTATGTCCTCATGAGGGCTCAATGAAAATATTCAGCAATGTGTCTCTCTTTACATCAAAACGGGAGTTCTGTATGAAATTAATTGTACAGAAAATGCAAAGGAGATTTATGAAACAATGCAGCATGAATGTTAAGAATTGAATGTGTGAATAAATTATAACAAGGCCTTTTTTTGTGGGGGGGGGGGGGGGTTACGCAAAACCATCTTTCCACTTCTAAATTTCATGACTTTAAATGCCATCTTAGGCATCCTTGGTCCTTGAAATCAATGTGTAGATGAGAATGATTTTAGCAATATGTGAATGTGAAGTGCTCAACCAGATCAGAAAAATCTGGTTCAAACATGAAGGAATTGGGCAGAAGCAACAATGTGTTTGAGATCCCTGGAGTGGGATTTGAACCTGCAATGTTCTGACCCAGCACTAAGAGTTCTACCCACTGAGCTTCGTCAAAAAGTACATTTTAAGGAGCATCTGAAAGGAGAAGTAGAGAGGGAGAGGGGTCTGCAAAGGAAATTCCAGCTGAAGGCAGAATTAGAATCAGGGTCTGGCAAAAGACCAGATTGGCAAGAATGAGGAGATTTCAGAGGGCACGGTAAAGTCACCATAGTCCTACAGGATCATTGAGCTGTTCTCTCATGACAGACAGAGAGAGATGACTGGTGGGGGTTTAACCTGAGGATCAGAGGGGAGGCTGAGAAGGAGAGTCCATCGTGGTAACCTCAGCCAATGTGGCAATTAAATCCACACTGTTAGCATCACTCTGCATCACAAATCAGTCATTCAGCCAACCGAGCTAACCAATCCCCTATGCTTTGCAGAGACAGCAGAGATCCTCCCATTGTACCCTTCTTGGGAGCAACAGAAAAGCCCCTAGTATGAAACAGGGGTATTTACCTCTGCAGCAATGGGGAACAAACAAAGGTGGATGTGCTCTCTTGACAGAGTGCCAAAGTGCAAGTCTGATTTTCCTGATCCCTCTCAGAACCACCTGGACAGTATCAGGGACATACTAGGGAGCTACCTCTTCTATGCTAATGACCTCCCCCTCACGGCTATCCCAGGGTTAAGGGTTGGAAGAGCATAAAAAAATAGAGTTCTGCCTAGTGTCAAGAATTTTTGCCCGCTTTGTTTTTAGAGGTAGATGCGCCATCCTCTGGTATATTCAGGAATAGCAAGCATCCCCATTACAGCATTTCAATAATACACTCATTTCAATAAATGGCAGACATTCAAAGTTCTCCCAGATTTTAGGATTTTATGGCCACATTAGAAAATTTATTAGAGGGACTCAGAAAGTTGGTGAACAATATAAACCTCATCTGATCCTTTCCATCAAATTATTTCAGCATACACTATGTACGAGTTTCTACAACTACCGAGCCTTTCATGTCCTACCCACCATTAATGTCCAAACTCTGCTGGCCATATCCTGAGCCTCATTAAATACCATTCTTCCATTACCCCTGTGCCCACTGATCTACACTGGCTCCTGGTTAAACGATACCTTGATTTGAACATTGTTATTTTCGTTCACAAATCTTTCTATGGCTTTTGTCTCTCTCTATTTCTATAATTTCCTATCATTCAACCCTCTGAGAGATATACATTCTTTTCAGGCTGGCGCCTGAAACATTTCTGATTTGGAATATTCCATTTCGGTTGCTCCTTGCCTTCAGCTGCCAAGGCTCTGAGCTCTGGAAATCACTCTCCACATCTCTCCATCTTTCTCCCTTATTTTTCTCTTTTAAGATGTTAAACCGATGTGCATTTGTCTGGGGTTTTCAGTACCTTTTCAAATATCTCCTTGCATTGATGTGTGTCAAAACTGCTTTGCAATGTTCCTATGAATTGCCTTTGAACTTTTTAAATATGTTTAAGGAGTTATATAAATGTATGCTGTTGTTGTGCCTACCATAGAATCATAGAATCCCTACAGTGTGGAAACAGGCCCTTCGGCCCAACAAGTCCACACTGAACCTTAGAGCATCCCACCCAGACCCATCCCCCTATTAACCCACCTAATCTACACATCTCTGAACACGATGGGCAATTTAGCATGGCCAATCCACCTAGCCTGCACACCTTTGGATTGTGGGAGGAAACTGGAGCACCCGGAGGAAACCCACGCAGACACAGGGAGAATGTGCAAACTCCACACAGACAGTTGCCCGAGGGTGGGACTGAACCCAGGTCCCTGGCGCTGTGAGGCTAATCACTGTGCCACCGTGCCACCCCAAAACCATGACCTCAGGACCTCAATTGTTACTGCTTTACAGCCACTGCATTACCTTTGAAGTGTAGACACTGTGGTAAATTTAGAAAGGTGGCAGGCAATTTGTACACAGCAAACTCCCAGGAACAGCAATGAGCTAATGACAAATCATTTGCATTTAGTGATGTCAGTTAAGGGATAAATATTGTCCAGGCGACTGGGAAGAACTCCCCAATCTTCTTAAAAATGTGATCGTAGGATCTTCTACCTCTACCTTGTAGGGTAGATGGGTCTCAATGATGTCTCATCCAAATGACAGTACTTCTGGCAGTGCAGGTCTCCCTCAGTACTGCACTGGAGTGTCGGCCTAGATTACATGCTCAAATCTCAGGAG